GGCCCGAACCCGGGAAGGGGGGGAGGGCCCCGTCGAAGGATGGGAGGGGTTTGAACCGGGGGGCCCCCCCTTGGGTTGCAAGGGGGGGCTCGAACGCTCCCCCCCTGTCTAATGTGCGGGGAAGGTTCGAACTGCCCCCCCCCTGAATTGCAGGGGGGGGGGGTCGAACCGGCGAGGCCATTGCATGCATGGTGGTCGCCTGCCTGCTCGCTCGCTCGCTCGAGCAAGCGAGCGAGCGAGCGAGTCGAGCGGGTCGGGTCGGGCGGGGCATGGTGCTCGCGTGTTTGCTCGCTCGCTCGCTCGAGGAAGCGAGCGAGCGAGCGAGAGCAAAGATCGGTCGTCGTCGTCGGCGTTCGGCGTCGTCGTCGCTGTCAGAGTCGTCGTCGTCGTCGTCGCCGTCGCCGTCGCCGTCGCCGTCGACGCCGTCGTCGCCGCCGTCGCCGTCGCCGTCGCCGTCGCCGTCGCCATCGCCGTCGCCATCGCCGTCGCAATCGCCGTCGCCGTGACCGTGACCGTGACCGTCGCCGTCGTTATCGTCGTCGTCGAAATACTCGTCGCCGTCGCCGTCGCCGTCGCCGTCGCAATCGCCGTCGCAATCGCCGTCACCGTGACCGTCGCTTTCGTCGTCGTCGTCGGCGTCTCCGTCACCGTCACCGTCGTCGTCATCGTCGTCGTAGTCGTCGTCGACGTTTTCGTCGTCGTCTTCGGCGGCGGCGGCGGCGTCGCACATCGTCGTCGTCGTGATCGTCCTCGCTGCCCGACGGCGCTGGCGCCAGCGCCAGCGCTCGCCGTCGTCGGTTGCGGGGGAGCCCCCTTCCCGGTTCGACCCACCCCCTTTGAGAGAGGAGGGCCCCCCATGGTCCCCCCACCATCCCGTGTGAACACCCCCCCCCACTACACTTGAGCCCCCCCCACCTTGCAATTCAGGGCCCCCCCTCGTCTCTGGTTCGAATCCCCCCTCCCCCGATTCGAACCCTCCTCCTTTGCAAGCAAGGGCCCACCACCCGATTCGACCCCCCCTTGGAACGAGCACCAGACTGTGGTTGAGCCTGGATCTGAATATGGGAAAGTCTGTGTGCCAGTGAGTCTGGCTAAGTAAGCGTGAGTCTGAGTAAGCGTGAGTAATCGTGAAATCTGAATCTAGGAGAGAGCGTGATCCACCGCCGCTTTCCTGTGGAAAATTTCTCCCCCTCTTCATCTGGAACCCGGGGGTCCCCAGCCCCCCCCCCTCTGCGAAAATCCCCCACCGCCCCTGCTGGATCCCCCCTCCCCCCCCCCTCGGAAAACCGGGAGGGGGTCACTACCAGTTCGAACCCCTCCCCCCCCCAGAAAACCAGAGGAAGGTCACTACCCCTCCAGAAAACCGGGGGGGAATTAAACCCGGTTCGAACCCCCCCCTCGAAAACTGGGGGGGTCACTACCGGTTCGAACCCCCCCCCTCTTACCCCTCGAAAGCCGGGGGGGGTCACTATTGAACACCCCCCCCCTCGAAAACCGAAGGGGGTCACTACCGGTTCGAACCCCCCCCCCTTCACCGCCAGCAAACGACTCCCGGTCCCTACCACCGTCCGCACAACATCCCCCACTGCTGTTCCCAGCACCACCCACCGTCCCCGCTGGTTCCACCACCGTCCCTACTGTCCCCACCAGTGCCCCCACCACTGTCGCACTGTCCCCACTGTCCCCACCACTGTTTCCACCATGGTTCCACTCTCCCCACTTTCTCCACGGCCCCAACCACTGCCCGACTGTCCCCACTGCCCCCACTGTCCCACTGTCCCACTGTCTCCTCCGCTGTCCCACTGAGCTGTCCCACTGTTCCCACCACTGTCCCCACTGTCCCTCCCACTGTCCCCACTGTACCTCTGCCCCATTGTCCCACCGCCGTCCTCGCCACCGCCCTCACCACTATCCTCACCACCACTGTATCCTCCACTCTCCCACTGTCTCTACCACGTTCCCACTGTCCCCACACCACTGTCCCCACCACCACCGTCCCCACCACTGTCCCACTGTCCCCACTGTTCCCACCATTGTCCCCGCTGTCCCCACCAGTGCCCCCACAAGTGTGTCGATGTCCCCACTCTCCCCACCATTGTCCCACCACGGTCCCACTCTCCCCACTTTCCCCACGGTCCCCACCACTGTTCCACTGTCCCCACTGTACCCACTACTGTCCCACTGTCCCCGCCGCTGTCCCACTGTGCTGTCCCAGCGTCCCCACTGTCCCCATCGCTGTCCCACTGTCCCCACTGTCCCATCCACTTTCCCCACTGTGCTACTGTCCCACCACTGTCCTCACCACCGCCTTCACCACGGTCCCCACCACTACCGTCCCCACCACTGTCCCACTGTCCCCACCACTGTCCCGCTGTCCCCTCACCACTGTCCCCACCACCATCGTCCTCACCACTGTCCGCACTCCCCTGGTTTTCGAGGGGGGGGCCGGGCTCGAACCGGTAATTACCCCACCCGGTTTTCGAGGGGGGGGGGTTCGAGCGGGTAGTGACCTCCCCCTCCTTTTCATGTTGGACTGGGGGGGGGGGGAGGGGTTCGAACCCGCAATGACCCCCCCCCGGTTTTCAGGAGCGGGGGGGGGGCTCGAACCAGTAGTGAACCCCCTCTGGTTTTCCGCCAGCAGCGGTAGAACACGCTCTGTAGAATGAACCTGATTGTGAGTGGGTCTGAGTGTGATGGAGTATGACTGACTCTGGGAAAGGGAGGGAGACGGCGGGAGTGAGTGAGACTGAGGCTGAGAGATCCCAAATCCAACAAGAACCATGACTCAAGATATGATGGGTGTATAGCGAGGGTTCCGCGCTCCCGGGGCCAAGACCCCTTGTACGAAGCAACAGTTTCGCGCTCCCGAGTTTCCAAAACGGCCGAGGCAGGCAACCAAGGCGGCCAAGAAAACACACAATGCTTCAGACACGGCCCACGATGGCCCTAAGGCGGCCCAAGATTGCCTCAAGACGGCCCAAGAGGCCCCCTCAAGCCGGTCCAAGAGGCCCCCGAGGAGCCCGAGAAAACCCACTCTGAATGGCTTAGTTAGGTGCTTTACAGTGCTCTGGCGTCTTCACATCTCCGGGGCTCTTGCAACTCCAAACAGCGCTAGGGACTTCAAGATGGCCCCAAGACGGCCCACGACAGCTTCCAAAGGGCCCCGATCATCCTCCGAGACTGCCTGACGACATCCTGTAATCCCTGGGTGGCCCAGGACGGCCTCAACGAGAGCCCCAAGCTGGCCCGAGGGCTCGGGGAGGGGCCCACGGCTGCCTTAGAGAGCCCATATAGACGGCCCACGGCGGCCGCAGGAGAGCTCCAAGACTGCCCAAGAAGGCCCCGAGACGGCTCAGGAGGGCCTCCAGACGGCTTCAAGGCGGCCCATAGGACCGCCAAGAGAGGGCAAGAGAGGGGGAGGAAGACGACGAAGACCACAAGAGAAGCCCGACACGACGCGCCTCTCGCAAGCCTCGGGACACGATGTGTCACTCGAAAGCCCTCCGAACAGTCGCCACCCAAGGTGATGGGCTGGCACGGTGGCGGGACTTGCCGCAAGCAACTAATCTAACATTGACGAACGAGCAGCACGCACCCATTGGCCTTATGGGGGTGCCAGAAGGAAGAGAACTGGCTATGGGCATGGTATGGGTGCGGGTTGACGGGCTCTGGAAGAAGCTCCCGCTCGAGCGGGGGCATCCATCCGACAACACGCGCACATAGTCCCCTTCTTCCCCCCTATGGGTATGGGTGTGCGTTGTTCGTTGGTCGAATCTTGCCTTCAACCAATGCCTCCCCTCACTCAGTCGGGATCCTCTTCCACCTCCGCTCTGCCTCGTCCCTCCCATCTTACCTCCTCCTCCTCCTCCTCCTCTTCCACGCTGGTTCAAAGGCTATACAATGTTTCGTTTGCCGTCGACACGGCTGAATAGATCGATGAAATCAACAATCGACGCACCAAATACATGCCAACCGCAATTCGACGCGCTAAAGCACATCAGCCAGACCAGCGCGGAACAGGCTGCGGACAACTAGCTGCATAACGAATAGGTGCTGCAACATCTGTGCCAAATCAAGCCGTTCATCATTTTACGTGCCAAACGCAGACTAACTAGACAAGCGCGCATATAGATCGTGGAGGAACAAGCAGGAGAGAATGGGAGATAATGCTTTCAACCGTAGTTGCCGTAGCTCCCACAGCATAGTAAAGCCAGACAAACGCCAATCACTCTCACCAATTGTGACGCCAGAGGCGTGCCAGAGAAAGATAAACTGTATGCAACAGTGGATGCCAGGTCTATGAGAGCAACTCTGGGCAAGAGACGGGCGGTGGTATAACTCGAATTCACAGCGGGGTGCCCACTTCTGCCTCGGCCAAGGGCCCTGTAGATGGCCGTGCTCCGGTCGATGTCGCGGCTTTTGCCATCACCCCACTTGCTGCACCGTGCAAAGCAGGAATGTGGGGCACCGCGCGTGGACGCCGCACTCAAGATGAAACGTGGTTCGCGCGATTCGAGACTCGAATCGCACGAACATGAGCGTCCGGAGCTCCGCGCGGACTTCCTGGGTCGGCGCGGGGCCCCATCTCCTCGTGCACACTTGGCTTGGCGCAGGAGACGCCGCCACAGGGGAGTCAGCGCCGATTCGCGAGAGCCGGTGCGGACCTCGCATGTGGTTACGGTCAAATCTCTTGGTATGAGTGTACGTTAGCTCCCGCTCCCTCCCCTCCTCTTTGTCATTGGCGAGGCACCACAACTACATTCGGCCGGCGACGTCGCGAAGCTCCTTTGTCCGTGCGCCGGCCTAGCCGCCGGACTTCGAGGTGTCTTGTGCAGCGCCACTTGACCGCATTGCCATTCGAGCTTGAGGCAAGGCAGCCCTGGCTTTGGCGAGAGGTCGCCAACATAGGGTTGAGCAAATAACACGCATATCCTCCTCAGTGTCGCTTTCCTCCCTCCCCTTTATCCTCTTGTTCGTCTTGCGCCCTCTCGTCGCCAAGCCTATGCGTGCAACCGCGTCTGTGGTCCGCTCGACTTCCTCCTCCTCCTTCTTCGCCATGACGGCGTTCCGCTTCATGGCGGGTGCCGGGTCGTCCTGACATGACAAAGACAGCGGACGGGCAAGTCCATCGAGACATAACGATGTTTGTGCATCCCCTACTCTCCTCCCTCTCACTCTCCCCCACCGCCCTCAACCCGTTCTTCTCTCCCGCGTTTTCTCTTCCTTTTCCCTTCTCGACCACCCTTCGATGAGGCAGTCTCGAAGCGATGCATGGTCTGACCGTGGCTCGATTTCAGGTTCTGATTCGCTCGAGGCGTCTTCGGTCTTAAGACGCCAGAAGTAGCAATGTCAACCACAGCCGTGTAGTGACGCAGGCCAAGCGGGTGCCCCGTTCTAAACCGAAGACGTCCTCCATCTTTCTAGATCTCCAACGTGACAAGGTGCATGGTGTACCATGACGCAGCAGGTCGAGACGACCGCCATGCAGACATAAGAACCACCTCTCACCCTTCGATGCTGTGCATATCGACTTCTCGACGCTGATAACGGACGACGTAAACACGAGCCTCCCAGTGTGACAAATTGCCGCCCTGCACACGTGTAGCTCTTGACCGATTCGTAACACAAGGCGATCTATACCAGCCACCGTAGGGTAGGCAATATCTGAAACGTCCCCAAATATCGTCGGTGAGCCCCTTGGTCTGGACGCCCAAAATGGGTACGGCAAGAATGGGCACAATGCCCAGCAGCAAATGTTGTCCCGAACCAACAGCGGCCGCTGTTTGGCAGGTGGCCTTCTGTCTCAAATGGACACAATCCGCGGCGACGCCGACAGCGAATCCTGTCCAAAATGAACAAGAACTGCTGTCGGTCTTTGTGCCCATTCTTTCCGTACCCATGTCGGTCGTCCCGACTTGGGTTCCGACGTGGCCCCCCGCTGTCTCGGCCGCCAATGCCGAACCGTCGTCTCGCCCGCCCTGCAGACCCCTGTTCGCCGCGTTCGCCTCTGTGAATGCTTCTGCGCCCTCACGTCAATTCCCCTCTTCGTCTGCCTGCTCCGTTCTCTGCTCCTGGCGCTCCCCCTTCCTTCTCGTCCTCCTCACTCCTTTTCCTCCATCCCCATGCTCTCTCCTTGTCCTCCGTCTCCCGCATCCTCTCTCCTCCCCGTCGCCATTTGATTCCCTTTCTTTTAAATTAGCCCCTCATGATCCTCCCCGTCTTCCTCCTCATTCTCCTCTTTCTCGCTCGTCATCCCTCTCCCCTCCCCCTCCCCCTTCCCCTCACCCTCCTCCTGCTCCTGCTCCTCCTTCCTCCTTAATGTGAAAGGGCCATTGCACGCGTGCTACTTGGTTTCCCCAGCCAAACATCGGAGCGCTTGCAGTGTTTCAAAAATGGTGCTCTCACTGCAACGTGCACCGCTTCTTCGGATCGGCGCGTTGCCCGCGCCGCTCAGAATTGTTCTCGCCCAGCGCTGGCCACTTTTCTGATCCAAATCCTTCCTCATCGTTGTCTCTCCACTCTACCTCTATTTCCCATGCCGGCCAAGGTCAGCGACCACTAGCAGGCTGCAAGCATGCCTCATGCGAACAAGAGGTGCGCACGTGATATATCTAGATATGATATAACACGGCGAGATATGTTCCCCTCCTCCGCCTCCCCCTGGTCCTCCTCATCCTCCCGCTCCTGCTCCTGCTTCTGCTTCGCCTCGTCCTCCTTCCTCATCCTCGTCTTCTTCCTGCTCACCCTCCAGCTCGTCTGTCACCCTCTCCTCCTCCTCCTCCTCCTTCTCCTCCTCCTCCTCCTCCTGCTCCTCTTCCTCCTCCTCCTCCTCCTCCTGCTCCTCCCTCCTCCTTCTCCTCCTCCTCCTTCTCCTCCTCCTCCTCCAATGTACACAACTACCCTTTCCCGATCCCGCATAACACCATGATGTCCTCTTGGGGTTTGCAGGCCCGCTACGACACCTGTCGGCGGATGGAGAAACACATCAGCGCATGGGGAGGACATGGGTGGGCGGGGTAGGATGCCAACTATGGCGCAAGCACGCCTGACCTGTCCTCCCCCCCTTCCCCGGGGCGAAAGGAGTGCCCGAACGCTCCTCGTCGTCCAACTTCGGCGAACACATCAGGCCGACGCCGGGCCTGTAGTCGAAGACCCAGCCCCTGCCGTCCGCCAACTTCAGGTAGGTGATACCTCGCCATCGGGCGTCACGTTTCCTCCTCAACCTCCTCTTCTTCTCCTTCTCCCTCCTCCTCCACCTCCTTATTCTCGTCGAGGGCACCTCGTCCGTCCCGTCGCGCCACGATCCGCGTCGGCTGTGCGTCGAATCCGCGACGGGTTCGCGTCAAACCAGCGCAGACTCCGCGCCGAACCCGCGTCGTTGGTCAGAGGACAGTACACGCTGCAGGACGTGCGAGGCACCGCGAAGATACAACCTGACGTCTCGCCCCGCTGAGAGTGGCCAAGGGAGGAGGTGAGGAGGAGGAGAAGGAGAAGGAGGAGGAGGAGGAGGAGTAGGAATAGGAGTAGGAGTAGGAGGAGCAGGAGAGAGGAGTGAGGAGTGAGGAGTGAGGAGTGAGGAGTGAGGAGGAGGAGGAGGAGGAGGAGGAGGAGGAGGAGGAGGAGGAGGAGGAGAAGGAGGAGAAGGAGGATGAGGAGGAGGAGGAGGATGAGGAGGAGCAGCAGGGACTCGGCGATCCATCGCCGCTGGATCGGCGACGCGCAGGCGGGGGCACCCGGGCCCCGGTAGAGGAGGAGTGGCGCGGTTCGGGGGTCGGTGTCCTCCCCTCCCTCACCTCCTGGGCCCGTCCCCCTCGTCGGCGCACTCCGAGGAGCAGAAAACTCGCCGTCGCTCGGGCGTCCTTTTCCCGTGCATTGTCCGGTTTCGTGCGTGATTGTTTTGCTCGATGGTCCAGGATGGTCCTCGATGGTTCTCGCCGAGAAGAATGCACACGTCCGAGCGATGCCAAGATAGAGGCGGAGGGAGCAGTGGCTCAGGGAGGAGGGAGGGTAGGGATGGAGGGAAGGCGCGAGGCGGAGGGCTGGGGAGGCTGGTGGGATACGAGGGGCGAAGGCGGCCATGGGGCGGAGGAGGGATGGGCAGGAGGGAAGGCAGGGGTGACAGATTAGGTGGGGAAGACGGGAAGGGGGGAGTGCAGACAAGAATGAGTGACGAGGGTGGATATGGCGGCGGACAGAAGACGCATGGAGGAGGGAAAAGATGAGAGAGATAGGGAACGGAAAAGGGAGAGCGAGATGGATAGCGGGACGGCGGAGATGATCGTGAACGGACTGAGACAATGGAGCGCACTGAACACCGCTGTCGTGACCACGTTAGCGCGCCCGTCGTGGACGACCGCCACGACCACCACGACCACAGGCTTGTGGCGGGGGTTGCTGCCACCCTGACCACTGCCCATGACTCCCACGCCACGACCCTCCACCACGGCCACCCCACCACGACAATGTGACTGCCGTCGAAACGTCGCATCAAAATCGTAGGTCAAGAACACGAGACAAACCTTCGCCGAAGGCCCATTACCCCACGGAGATACCCCAAATGAAGAGCATTCCAAAATTCCATCATTGTGGTTGTTCTCAACCTTGGTTCCAACTTCGCGCAAACCGATGAACACAAACCACATAGCACGTTCTGTGAGGAAACCTAAAAACAACAGGGTTAATGACTGATTGTGTTGACTGCTTAGCGCATCTATGAGACCGCTTATGTTCAAGATCGCGGAACAAACGTCTATCAGAAAACGCAACTGGCCAACCACAACAACCCAACAACTGTAATGACCGGTTTGTGATGACTGGCCAACGCAACCATGAACGACCACCAACGCCGCGACCGCGACCTGGTCTCATCGCTGGCCGGACAGCCGCGACCACGACAACGCCGACCACGGATGCCCGACCGACCAACCACTCGATGATCCCCAGGATGTGTGTTAGCGTTCGCGTGTGCTTGCCCAGCGAAGGCCCTTCGCTACGACGCAGGCGGTGTCGTGAGTGCCGGCGCAGCCTGCGTGTTAAACCACACACACATTTGGCTAACACGCGTCCCGAGGATCGGCGATCGGTCTGGAGCAGAGCAGGCCTTGGAACCCGCGGCCGGCGGGACTGGCTCTCGGCGGCGGCGCAGCGTCGGCGTCGCCGCGGTCGAGGCCGGCGAGCAGCCAGGGAGCGTGTCGGGGGAGCGGCGGTGTCTCGTGTTCTGCCAGCGGCGGCCGCGCGGTCCACGGTTGGGCTGCGGCGGCGGGCGCGGCGCGCCCCTCGCGCCTTGGAAGGGCTGGGAGGGCGCGCAGCTGACGCCGGAGTGATCGGGGGACTGCTGCGTCGACGTGCCCCCCGGGGTGACCAGGCCTGCTGGTCGGGATGCTGTACTGGCCGCTGATGCTTCAGCACGTGCGCTCGCTTCTTGTCCTCGGCCTGGTTGCACTGGCGTCGCTCGGACGCTCGGCGCCAAGCTCTGCTGGTTGCCCACTTCCACGGGGATGCGAAGCAGTAGCTCGGCCTCCTGGACGGCGCCGAGATGGACGCCGATGGGGCGACAGGCCGCGTTGCAAGCACCGTGGGGGCGAGCAAGGGCAACAACCCAGCTGCGGCGTGGCCGTGGACGCGGATGGGGGGGGCCTCAGGGGAGGAGGGCCATGAACGACACGCGGGCGCGCGGGACGCCCCGTGTTCTCCCTCTTCCCTCCCTCCTCCCTCCTCCTCCTCCTCCTCCTCCTCCTCCTCAGGTTCCGTGTCGTGCCGACCCTGGCGTTGGTTCCTGACATCGCGGGGATCGTTCAACCTGGAACGATCGGCAATTTCCGAAACGCCAAAACGTTCAGCACCGACCGATTCTGGGTTCAACGCTGAACGCCGACGGCGGCGGGATCGCCGCCGGTCGACATGACGCGAACCTACCCCGCCACAAGTCGGCTACACGTAGGAGCGACCCCCCTAGGCAAGAGTGGCCTCTGGTGCGCGGCTCTAGGGGAGGCCGCGGGGGGGGAGGGCCAAACCCAAGCGCGCAAGCCGCTGCTGCCGCTCCGCGCTCAGCGATCGGGGGGCCCCATTTGGCCCGCACCAAAGGTCACTCCAACGCAAAGTCACTCTACCGTGTACAGTCGGCCCGAGGCCAGAAGAACATCCCTCAAGAGCAGGAGACCCTCCGTCGGCCAGATCGAACATAACATATAAGGGTACCCTCCCCAGGATGCACACAAACATCGAACGTACAGTGAGAACGTCTGATGAGGATGGGGTGGCAAGGACGCAAGACCCTTGAAGGCCAAAGCTGGGATTTGTTGGGCGGCGGGCGACCAAAACCCCAGGAACGTCAGGGCACCCAAACCCGCAAGTGGCTGCAGAGGCAAGGACACAAGGGTACCCTAAAAAGGCGCGCGCCCTTACTTTGCGCGTTGACCGTACGCGCAGGACGCTCGGGTGCCCTGCCCGAACCGACCTCGATCTCGTGCCTCGGTTCGACTGCAGTCGCACAGGCCCCGGTTCCCGCTTCTTCGGCCTCCCTCGCCGGGCCGCCGCTGGCGGCCGGCCGCGCTCGCCTCGCGCCGCCTCTGCTCCTCCCCTTCGCCCCCCTCCTTCTCCTCCTCGCCCCTCGTCCTCCTCGTCTCGCCTCCTCGTCCCCCTCCTCCTCCTCGTTCCCCTCCTCCTCCTCCTCCTGCTCCTCGTCCCCCTCCTCCTCCTCCTCCTCCTTCTCCTCCTCCTCCCCCTCCTTCTCGTCGTCCTCGTCCTCGTCCTCGTCCTCGTCCTCCTCCTCCTCGTCCTCCTCCTTCTCGTCGTCCTCGTCCTCGTCCTCGTTCTCGTCCTCCTCCTCCTCTTCCTTCTCTCCTCCCCCTCCCCCTCCTCCTCCACCATCTCCTCCATCACCCTTCCCTATCCGTAGCCAATTTTGGCTCAAGCCATTTGGGCTCGAGTGTTTTTGTGCACACTCATACGGACTGCCACCTTGCGCGGCCGCGAAGACGTCGGGGTGCGCGATGACTCGTCCACGCGGTGTCGTCACGGAACGCCATGGCGATTCCATCGCGCATGTGAGCGACGTGCAGGCGGCGGCCAGGCTCGTGAAGGAGCTGGAGGAAGACCAGGAGGGCATTCGAAGGTGTGCCGTGCCTGCGGGACTTCGACGGGCTTCTCCGTGATGCTCGTGAAGTGCTGCTGCTTGGAGGAGGAGGAGGCGGATGAGGAGGAGGAGGAGGAGGAGGGTCGAGAGGCCTCTGGTGAGGCGCGGCTTCAAGGAGCTGGCGGATAAGTTCTGCAAATGGCGATCTCGCAGCTGCGTGGCAATACATCCGGTGGACGGCGGACTTCCTCGGCGGATCCTCGAAGGCCTCTGCGCTCCGGTGAGCGAGCCGTCGGCCAACGAAGGGTCGATGGCTTCCGGCGTCGAGGGCCAGTTCACGGACAGCGCGCAGAGCGTCGCGGCGAAGGACCTGCTGAAGACCGAGGCCAAGTCAAAAAATGAGGTCGTGCGCAACCATGCCGAGGCCGAGCGCGAGGTGGATACCAAGCGCAAACTGAGCCGCCTGGAAGGCGTGCTGCAGGAAGCCGTGCGCACGGCAGAGTCCGAGCGGCATGCGGCGAAGCAAGCGTTGCACTTCCGCCTCGACGCAGACGACCACGGGGACGGCGAGGAGTCAGGAGACACGGACCACAGCGAGGTGAAAAGCGGCTCGGTCCTCGGTCCCGACGTGGGGCTGGAGCACCTCTGCGACGGCATCGGAAACAAGCTCGACGACCTGAAGGCGATGCTCTACGAGGTGAGGGCCGACATGCTCACCTTGCGGGCAGCGGGAGGATTCCGAAGGGAAATTCAAGGACATCGCGAATGCGGACTTCGCGGTGAAGAGCGCCGAGGACCCTTTGGTGAATTTCGTTGCGGCCCTGCAGGTGAAGTGCGACACGGAATGCCACGAGATCGGGATGACGGACTTCGTGGCGAATCCCAGCGACGTGCAGCCCGAGGACGTCCCGCTGGCACAGCTCATCGAGGAGCTGTTCGTGAATCCTGTGGAGGTCCCGCAGGCGACGGACGACGAAGTTCTCCAGGAGATCGCGAAGACCGAGTTCGCCGAGAAGCTCAACGAGGCGCTGCTCGAGAAACCTGCCAAGTCCCCGCAGGTGCGGTACGGCATGGAGTTCGACGAGAGCGCGAACACGGACTTCGCGGGTAAGCTCCTCGAGGTGCCCTTCGAGCAGCCTGTGGAGGTCCAGGAGGACATGCGCAATGACGCGGTGGCGGCGACTCGAGGGGTCGGTCGGAAGGCCAAGAAGAGGCAACATAGGCAGCGTAACACGGGCAGGAAGCGGGAGAAGGCCATCGTTGACGGCTTTGCCATGGACACGTTTGAGGGGCAGACGCCGCGTTTGCTCGGGCTCCTGGCAGGGAGGAGGTCGCCAGCTTGTGCTCAGAGCTGGCCAGGTGCAGGGGTGTCGCGCTGGCCTGACCTTCAGAAGTCCTTCAGCAGCTGCTTATGAGCAGCGGCGTCTTTTTCGGCAGTGCATTCGATGCCAGGCCCCAGCCAGCGTGCTTGGGCAAGGGGCTCTAAGACACTAGCGTGCCAGGCATCAGGTAGTGCGCAAGATGCGTACTGCATCACTCGGCGCCCTGCGGGGCGGTGCGGCCCATCCCCCGTCTCTAGCCATAGCAGTCGGCAGAGCTGGGGCGAGGCACGGGCTGCGCTCTCTGGGGATTCCTTCGCCTTGGCCCGACGGAGCTCCTCTATAGCAAGGGGCGGGCTCGAGGCGATCCCGACCCGCTCCATGGCGAGGCAAGCCCGTTGCTGCCCGGGTGCGCGCCTGCCGCTGGCCCCTGGATGGGTTTTCCCCCCCCGTCAGGGTGGCACGAAGCCCCCCTCCGACGGGGCGCGCCCCAGGCACTTTTCGGAGGCCTGGGCCCCGAACTCTTCCACCCTCCCTCTTTTCAGGAGCGTCCGATCCCCCTTCCCTGCAGTCACCCCCTCCGCGTCGCACCACGGTGCGTGTCCGCAAGGCGGGGCGAGTGTCTCGCCTGAGACCTCCTCGCCACTGAAGGTGCTGAAGCTCGAAGGCCCCATCAGCTGCAACGACCAATCGTGTGATGCGCAATTCGATAGGGATGGCCTGTGCACTGGGCGAGGCGTTGAAGGGCGAGAAGGATGAGAGAGCGTGAGGACGAGGAAGATGAGGATGATAATGATCAGGACGATAACAGGATGTTTGTTACGATGTTGATGATAATGGTGACGATGAGGATGGTGATGGTGATGATGATGCTAAATGATGTTGATGCTGTTGGTGGCGATGGTGGTAATCACGATCACGGTGATGATGCAAATGACGATACCGGTGTTGATGGCGATGGTGTTGATGATGATGGTGATGCACGGTCATGATGATGCTGGTGGGTATGATGAGGAGGAGGACGAGGAGGACGAGGAGGGGGTGGAGGAGTTCCCACCTCCCTTTTCCCTCCTCCTGGCAGGCCCGCTGGGGGTGCGGCAGTCGCCCCCCGTCCCCGGCCCAACAGAGCGCCCCCCCCCCCGCGCGCCGTCGTCTGCGTCGCAGCGCTCGTCGCACACCTGCGGGCAGCGAGGGTCGGGATCCACCAAAGACTAGGTCGGGCATGTCCCCTGTACAGGCGATTTTTCGACGGAAAGAATGTAGTCCCCAGAATACCCCAAATGATCAATACATGCGCAAAAGCAGTCCCCATACTATTTTGGTTTACTTTTGAATATTCGTCCTGCAGAGGGACAGGCCCGACTTCAACCAAAAGTGGGGTGACCCTGAAAATGGGGCATGAAATCGATCCGTTGGTGCACCGGGCTGCCACAAACAGATGCCCCCCGCATGCCCCACCCATCGGCAACTCTCGGGCACTGCCGGCGGCTGGGGGGCATCTGTTTTGGGCGGTGCGGTGCAAAAACCGATCGAACTCACACGCCCCGGGGGCACATCCCCCCTCTGCGGGATCCCGAGGGGGCCCTAAGATGGCCCAAGACGGCTTAAGAGGCCTCCAGGAGTGCCTCCAGGAAGGCCCGAAAAGGCCATGCCAAACCCATTGATTTGCCATAGGTTTTTGAAGGATCGTGGCTTTTGTTGTTCTTCTGCCTTCCGACGGCCCGAGACGGCCCAAGTGCCCCACAGATCGCCCAAGAGGCCCAAGACACGGCCCCAAGAGGCCCCCAAGACGGCCCAAGAGGTCTCCAAGACGCTCAAGATGGCCTCCAAGACGGTCCAAGAGCCCTCCAAGACGTCCTCCAAGAAGGCCCGAAAGGGTCAAAATGGCCTCCAGACGGCCAAGATGACCTTCAAGATGCCCACGTGTTCCCCGAAGGCTTTCCAAACCGATTCGGGGAACACATGGTCCGATAGCTTGGCAAGTCTGGCCTCAACGTTCGGCCACATAGGCGCTTCCAAAAAGGCAGGAAGCGGTAGTGATTCGCCGTAGGCGTCTTCGATCCGCCTGGAGCATTCCAAGAGGGCGGAGGAGGGCCCCAAGTGGTAGAGCCGCCCCCAAACTGGCTTCCGACGGCCCCAAGACGGTGCCAGGGGCCCCCAAGACGGCCGATGAACATGGCACTAAGATGGCCCAAGACGGCTTAAGAGGCCTCCAAGAGGGCCTCCAGGAAGGGCCGAAAAGGCCAAAATCATTGATTTCCCTGAGTTTGGGAAGGACCGTGGCATTTGCTTTTTTTCTGCCTTCCGACTGCCCGAGACGGCCCAAGTGCCCCCAAAGATCGCCCAAGCGGCCCCAGACGGCCCCAAGAGGCCCTCAAGACGGCCTAAGAGGCCTCCAAGACGCTCAAGATGGCCTCCAAGACAGCCCAAGAGCTCTCCAAGACGTCCTCCAAGAAGGCCCGAAAGGGTCAAAATGGCCTCCAGGCGGCCAAGATGACCTTCAAGATGCCCACGTGTTCCCCGAAGGCTTTCCAAACCGATTCGGGGAACACATGTTCCGATAGCTTGGCAGGTCTGGCCTCAACGTTCGGCCACACAGGCGCTTCCTCAAAGGCAGGGGGCGGCGGTGATTCGCCGTAGGCGTCTTCGATCCGCCGCCCCCTGTCGATTCATCCTAGGGGTGCCTGGCGTGCTTGACGACTTCGGTTTTGGTTTTGGTTCTTTTCCAAAAGAATTCCTCCTGGGGCTTCGGTCCGTCCCGCCGGCCACCCGGAAGACCCGGTTGCAAACGGTGTTCCTGCCCCAGACGGCCGCAAGATGGCCCAAGATGGCTTCCAAGACGGCTAAGATGGCCCAAATATGCTTCTAAGACGGCCCAAGATGCACCCAAGATGGCCACAGAGGCCTCCAAGATGCCCAAGGTGGCCTCCAAGACGGCCCTGGAGCACTCCAAGATGGCCCCCAGTCGGCCCAGAGAGGCCCCCAAGACAGCTTCTGCCGGCGCCAGACGGGCCAGGAGCCCACCAAGACGGCCCAAGATAGCTGTAAGATGGCCTCAGACGGCCCAAGAGGCCCCCAAGAGGCCTCTAACAAGAGGGCCTCCAGGAAGGCCCGAAGATGCCCAAATCATTGATTTTGTGTAAGTTGTTGAAGTATTTTGGCATTTGCTTCTTTTCGGCCTTCCGACGGCCCGAGACGGCCCAAGAGCCACCAAAGATCGCCCAAAGATCGTTCAAGAGGCCTCCAAGATGGCCCCAGAACGGCCCAAAAGGCCCCCACGACCGCCCAAGGATGGCCCCAAGACGGCCACAGAGGCCTCCAAGATGCCCAAGATGGCCTCCAAGACGGCTCTGGAGCACCCCAAGAGGGCCCCAGTCGGCCCAGAGAGGCCCCCAAGGCAGCTTCTGACGGCGCCAGACGGGCCAGGAGCCCACCAAGTCGGCCCAAAAGTGCTCTAAGATGGCCCAAGACTGCCCAAGAGACCCCCAAGAGGCCTCCAAGATGGCCCAAGTGGCCCTCCAGGAAGGCCCGAAGATGCCAATCTCATGGATTGCCTGTTGTTCTTGAAGGATGCTTTTTCTTCTGTTCGGCCTTCCGACGGCCCGAGCCCCCAAAGATCGCCCAAGAGGCCTCCAAGACGACCCCAGAACTGCCCCAAGAGTGCCCCCCACACGGCTCAATTACGCTACCGAGGAACCCCACATACTTAATTCAAATCTTGTGTGCTTGCTTAAGTTTATCGTATATGCGCAATTCTGCGTTCTCAGCCCTCGTCGCGAATGTTCCCCTCTGTGTCATCCAACGCCATATTGCTTGAACCTCCTCCCTCTTCCTAGCCTTCTATCCTCCATCGAGGACAGATTCGAGCCAGCCAGCGGCCGCGGTGAGGGACCACCCCCTGCGCACCTTCATGTTGTCGAGAAAATGCCGCGCCTGCTATGCCCTGGACGACCGTCGTGCATAGCGGCCGCGGTGAGGGACCACCCCGGTGAGAGACCACCCCCTGCGCACCCCCTCTGGAGTCGACAAAGTGCCACGCCTGCTAAGCCCTGCGACATTGGCGCGTATAGAGACCGCGGTGAGAGACCACCCCCGTGCGCACCCCCTCTGGTGTCGAGAAAGTGCCACGCCTGCTAGGCTTTGCGACAGTGTCGTGGATGGCGGCTGAGCTCAAGGACCACCCTTTGCGCGCCCCCTACGGTGTCGTGAAACTGCCACGCCTGCTAGGCTTTGCGACACTGTCGTGGATAGCGGGCGAGCTCAGGGACCACCCCCTGCGCACCCCCTCTGGTGTCGAGAAAGTGCCACGCCTGCTAGGCTTTGCGACAGTGTCTTGGTAGCGGGCGAGCTCAGGGGACGAGCTCAGGGACCCCCCCCCCCCCCCCCCCCCTGCGCACCCCCTCTGGTGTCGAGAAAGTGCCCACGCCTGCTAGGCTTTGCGACAGTGTCGTGGATAGCGGCCGCGCTCAGGGACCACCCCCTGCGCACCCCCTACGGTGTCGTGAAACTGCCACGCCTGCTCGGCTTTGCGACAATGTCGTGGATAACGGGCGAGCTCAGGGACCACCCCCTGCGCACCCCCTACGGTGCCGTGAAACTGCCACGCCTGCTAGGCTTTACGACAGTGTCGTGGATAGCGGCCGCGCTCAGGGACCACCCCCTGCGCACCCCCTCTGGTGTCGAGAAAGTGCCACGCCTGCTAGGCTTTGCGCCAATGTCGTGGAGAGCGGGCAAGATTCAGGGGTCCACCCCTGCGCACCCCTACGGTGTCGAGAAAACTGCAGACGCCTGCTAGGCTTTGCGACAGTGTCGTGGATAGCGGCGAGCTCAGGGGGCTCAGGGCACCCCCTGCGCTCCCCCTCTGGTTGTCCCCCCCTCTGGTTGTTGAGAAAGTGCCACGCCTGCTTGGCTTAGCGACAGTGTCGGGGATGCGGCCGCGCTCAGGGTTCACCCCCTGCACACCCCTACGGTGTCGTGAAACTGCCACGCCTGTTAGGCTTTGCGACAGTGTCGTGGATAGCGGGCGAGCTCAGGGACCACCCCCTGCGCACCCCCTCTGGTGTCGAGAACGTTCCACGCCTGCTAGGCGTTGCGCCTGCTAGGCGTTGCGCCAGTGTCGTGGATAGCGGGCAAGCTCAGTGACCACCCCCTGCGCACCCCCTCTGGTGTCGAGAAAGTGCCACGCCTGCTAGGCTTTGCGCCAGTGTCGCGGATAGCGGGCGAGCTCAGGGACCACCCCCTGCGCACCCCCTCTGGTGTCGAGAAAGTGCAACGCCTGCTAGGCTTTGCGACAATGTCGTGGATAGCGGCCGCGCTCAGGGACCACCCGCTGCGCACCCCCTCTGGTGTCGAGAACGTGCCACGCCTGCTAGGCTTTGCGACAGTGTCGTGGATAGCAGGCGAGCTCAGGGACCACCCCCTGCGCACCCCCTCTGGTGTCGAGAAAGTGCCACGCCTGCTAGGCGTTGCGCCAGTGTCGTGGATAGCGGGCACGCTCATGACCACCCCAGCGCACCCCCTCTGGTGTCGAGAACGTGCCACGCCTGCTAGGCTTTGCGACAGTGTCGTGGATAGCGGCCGCGCTCAAGGACCACCCCCTGCGCACCCCCTCTGGTGTCGAGAAAGTGCCACGCCTGCTAGACTTTGCGACAGTGCCGTGGATAGCGGGCAAGCTCAGGGACCACCCCCTGCGCACCCCCTCTGGTGTCGAGAAAATGCCACGCCTGCTAGGCTTTGCGACAGTGTCGTGGATAGCGGCCGCGCTCAGGGACCACCCCCTGCGCACCCCCTCTGGTGTCGGAAACTGCCACGCCTGCTAGGCTTTGCGACAGTGTCGTGGATAGCGGGCGCTCAGGGACCACCCCCTGCGCACCCCCTACGGTGTCGTGAAACTGCCACGCCTGCTAGGCTTTGCGACAGTGTCGTGGGTAGCGGGCGAGCTCAGGACCACCCCTGCGCACCCCCTCTGGTGTCGTGAAAGTGCCACGCCTGCTAGGCTTTGCGACAGTGTCGTGGATAGCGGCCGAGCTCAGGGACCACCCCCCTGCGCACCCCTCTGGTGTCGAGAAAGTGCCACGCCTGCTAGGCTTTGCGACAGTGTCGTGGATAGCGGCCGCGCTCAGGGACCACCCCCTGCGCACCCCCTCTGGTGTCGAGAAAGTGTTGCGCCTGCTAGGCT